GGACTCCTTGGACAAGTTTTCGCTTTTATTGAAGGATTCAATTTTTATTTTTAATTATAATTTAAGCTACCTTTGACTGATACTTCATGTAGCTTTCTGGAAATTTAGTTATATAATTTATCAGCAAAGTGCAACATTGCATCTTTTTATAAATCATTGCTGCTTTAAAATTCTTCCTTTTTTTTTTTTTAATTATCATCGTAATTAAGCTGATTTAAGTACTACCTTAAGGTGTTCGCCGTAGAAGTACCGAAATTTAGGCCTTTAGGAATTGTTCCCTGTGATACGCCACAAGTGAGTACGGTCCAGTTGGACTGTCAGGAAAAATTTGGTCCGGGGCAAAAATCGGTCCGGCAGACTGATTTTGGCCTCATAATTACTTGCCAAATATAGTCCACATAGGCCAAAATCAGTCCGCTGAAATTTACTTTGCTGCACAGCACACTTGGAAATCTTACGTCCGCAATAGATTTTGGCGGAAAGAACAATTCCTAAGCTTTTACAGACGTGCATATGCTTATGCTAGCCAATCACAATGATGTCCTTAGCTGAAGCCTGAATTTGCATACATCACCCTATATAAGAGATCGGCATGTAACAGTAACAGTAACAGTAAGGAAAGACTAAGCCATGTACAGGGATATGTATTACCTGTAGTTGTATTTTTAACAGTGGCGTATCTAGCAGTATTAAAATTGGTGGGGGGGGGGAGCGCGACCAAAATATGAGGGGGCGTGGAATTTATTTTCGGTGGCCACGCCCACTAAAAAATATTGCTTCTTAGATTCCCGAATACACGTTAACCGTGACAGATATGTTAAAGTATATCTCTTGAACGCAGTATTTGATGTGTTTTGATGAACGTCAATAAAGGGAAGTTGAGAAAGCATTAACCCATTTTCTTGAGCATAAGCCTAGCCTATTTTTTTTTTGCTTCGCAATTTTCGAATGGGGGGCGGGACGCCCCCTTTGGATACGCCACTGATTTTTAATAGTGTTACAATATATTTGCTATGAACAATTACATACATTGACATAAAATTTAATTTTATATTTATAACTCATACCGGATATATACAGTATATTTATGTTTCTATATTGTTAACGCTATATATTATATTGTTTCGAAACACATGGACATGTCTATATATATATATATATATATATATATATATATATATATACAAATAAAATATGTAACACTTTAGAGCAATGAAATGTTGAGTCTTTAACCCAGTGTTACATGTTTTATCTGTCTATCTGCTCCGCTATATACTGCATTGAGCGCTCTAGTCTACATGATCTGGTTTAAGCCATCCACGCAAGTTACATTATATATATATAGCATTGTTTTCCAGTACTTTACTTTCTAGACGACCGAAAATAACCTCTGAGGCGTACTAGGCGACCAATTATTTCTTTTTCTTATATTTTTCCTTTTTTCAGCGACAGGACCAACTACCATACCCCCTTCTAAATCCACGCCTCATATATTTGGCAGAAAGAGAGGGTGGGTGAACGTGAAAGGGTTTTTGAAATTTAAAATGTAGATTCCGCTACGCTAGCCACAGCACAGTGAGTTCAAACCACCAATCACAATGATGTCCATCGCTGAAGCCTTAATTTGCATACATCACCCTATATAAGAGTTTAAGATCATGATCTACAGTACAGTATGGCTTTATTTGATAGCAGAGGCTTCAAGGGTTTGTGTACGTGGAAAAATAAGGGAAAACCTAGCTATATAAGCTCTAGAGTACACAGATATATAGGCCTACTATTTGTTAAAGATAGTTGTATACATTGCTAATAATATTTTTATTTATTTATTTAATTTTAGCAATTTTTATGAGGGCAGTCCATCCAACCGAAGCTGATCATAAGGGACCCTCAGTACACAGTACAACAAAAGAAAGTATGAATAAATTAACAGTAGTATGCAGTCGGTTAATTTAAACTAGAGTAATTAGCCCTAATGATATAATCAATAAACATATATATATATATATGTATATATATATATATATATATGTATATATATGTGTATATATATATATATGTGTATATATATGTG